CGTCATTTAGGTAATAATTGAAGAAAAAGAAATTAAGGCAGACAAAGTTGAGTTTCATAATTATTTAAAAGAATAAAATGTCAATTTGTTATTTACGCCATAAATTTGTTGATTCGCATAGAGAAAAATGGAAAGATGACGATCATTTCTTTCATTATCAAAGAGTTAAAAAAAACTGTAATACGTGTTTTCTTCAAAAGAAATTATTATCATTTTACCGGTGAAAAAAGCCATAGCCAAATAGATCAAATTAGTTTTCCACAAGGATCAATAGAACTATAAAAAGACTTACTGGAATTATGAATGCAGTATCTTTTTCTGTTGACTTTATTATGTGTAATTAGACCTAAACAAAAATATTATTTGATGGGTTTAGTTAGTTCAACTACTTATCAAACATTCGTCCTAATTATATGTATATATATAGCCAGATTAAGTTGTGAATGAACCTTCTGGCTACACCATTTGTTTTTCATGTACATGACTAAGTCTAATAACAGAGAATACACAGGGTTCGTTTTTTTTAACAGATAATTTAGCAAACTCTCTGCTGATATGTAGGTAAAATGAAACAATTCCTAAATTATAAATTGTCAAAGTAAACGGTTCATTGGTTTTTTTTTGTATGATCACCTCAACAAAATTACCTAATTTCTGTTAGCTTAAATACATGTGAAAGATGTTAAAATAAGAACAAAGGAAATGAAACAGGATTTAGGTGAAAACATACAGTAATCATCTAATTTCATACAACTTGACCCCTTGAAAATTGAATCAGAGTAAAAACAACAAATTGTGTTATTTTTCCTTTGTTGAAAATTATCTAATTGATCAATTAGATACAAGTATCGTCTAGTTAGGATTGAGTTACTTCAGTTATGTTAAATTTATCACAGCTGGTTTTTGTCTGATATCAAGCCAGTTCGTTATATGAAGGAGAAATATTAGAGATCACCATCACATAATTATCTTTCATCTCTTTTTTTTTCTCAAGGGAATTGAACAAAATAAATTACATTACTACTTATCACTTCTTTTTTTCAATTTTTTTTTCATTAGTAAATATTGCGATTACATTGTTCGCTGAATATTTGTCATTGTGATATTCTATACGAACAATATATACACTTAAGAGCTAACCCATATAACTGTACACTTAACTATTATCCTCTAACATACGTAATTGACACACATGTACACAACGACACTACCTCCAGCGAACTGATTAGTAAATCGATGTATACAAATATATTATTAGTAGTAAATATCAGAAATAAATTTATCCATAGTGTTACTTTTCATGCCTCCAATACATTTGTTTTCTCTGTGTATCGGGATAATAAATAAAAATGAATGAGCTAACGAAAGAAAAAAAAGACTCACTTTGTCAATGAAAATCAAATTGATTATTTTATTTGATCCACTTTAGTCTGAAATAACTTACTACTTATACATTTATTGTAAGTAATATAACAAAAGACTTTTGTGTATATGAGAAGAAAGTGAACAAAAAAGAAAAAAAAGGTAATGAACAGAATAGAATTTAATGATTCAAATTATTTAATAATAAAACTGATTGAATTTTCTGCTGAAAAAGAAAAGAAATGAAACACATTGATGAGGAATTCTTATTTCTCCTCTTGAAAATAGTACCCCCCCCAAAAAAAATAAACATCTTCACACTTTAACTATTGAAGTTGATCAAAAGTAAATAAATAAGTAAACAGGATATTTGTAATCAAAAAAAGGAGGAAAAAACAAGGAAGCAAATTTATTTGATAGTGAGTAGTTTTATTATATTAACTTCAATTCGGAGTATTTATCGTAGATACTTAGAACTTTATTTTTATAGTGACCAATAAGACTATCCAATAGTCTTAGCTGAAATTATAACACAACTATAAGAATGAAGATGTTTAGTGATAAATGTGTTTGAAAGAGAAATTAATTGAGTAAGTCTTGTTCCGTTCATTTATACAATAACAACTAAGAAATTATATATGCTTTGTGAGAAAGAATTTTACTCTGCAAACATCTTTTAGATGAGAAGAGTAATTATCGTTCTATTGTAATATAACTGATGTGAAAAGAATGAAATACAAAGTGTGATTTTTTTCTCTTTATATTATAGCAAATAAAAATCAACATATCAAATATATGTATGTTTAGTATTTAATGAGTGATTCAAAGGGGTTAAAACCAGGTATGTCTTAGTGACGAGTTCTAACAGATACAAAACCTGGCCTCAAGGTTTCCTGTCAACTACTTTTAATTACTTAATAGCGAAACATCAAGCATGCAATGTCAAGTCATTTAGATTAATGGCTACATTCCAATTAGATCGATAGAATTCAACCAACCTTATAAAGACTGGAGAAACATGATATTGGTTACTTTTGCATAGACGAAAGACTGGTTATGAGTATAATATACCATTTGACTTTTTCTAGATAAGTGCATATTTTTTATAGACATCAGGTATTTTCCTCTCAGGAATTGATATAAACTGACGAGCAAGTAAAACCCATAGAGGCAGGATATCTTTCTGAAAAATCACGGCAGTGTCCATCAGTCGTGCCACACAGAACGGATTCTTATGTTTCTATCTGTCAGTTAAGTGGTCAAAGGTAATGGAAAAGGAACGGTTGATTTAATCATGACCGGCCTCTCATATGACTAAGGTGATTTATTGTATACCACAAAACTTCATCACTAGAATTCTGTCAATACTAAAGATCAGACATCATGAATTTACTTAATTCCATTGTTATCAGAATGTGTTTTGTGGAGAGTTTTAGAAATTTTCACAGATTGAAATCATGAGTCAGTTGAAGCTAGACCACCATTGAAAACCTGGAAGCACTGGACGGCCGTTTCGTCCTGGTATGGGACTCCTCAGCAGTGCGCATCCACGAACCCGCACCACCCGGGGCTCGAACCCAGGACCTACTGGCTTCGCGCGCGAGCACTTAACCATTAGACCACTGAGCCGGCATCCAACGGTGTTAATGTCTAACTTCAACCAATCCACGAAGTTGCGCTACCGTACACCATTGTCTTCAGTGAGTTCCTATCTCACAACAGACCTGGTTGAACTCCACTGGTAACGACTTCTCACTAGAACTCCAGAAGTGTCTCCTGATGTCAGTCACTAGTGAGCAGGTGATTATTATTATCAGAATGTGTTTTGTGGAGAGTTTTAGAAATTTTCACAGATTGAAATCATGAGTCAGTTTCCATTGATTGATTAATACTTTATATAATTTCCCAAGCAATTCATGTTTATTCACTTAACTAATACATATTTAGTTCAATAATTTACATATTTGCTGGAATTTATGAACCCTAGTACTGTAAATATGAAAGCTTTGTAGAACCATTTAATTTTAATGTGATAAGATTATATTATCTAATTTATTTACTTATTACTTCGTACTTCATAATGTGCATTTCAATTACTTGTTTTTCCGAAGCATACGTCTCTACTAATTTTTCATTTCCTTTTATTTTTTACTAATTTCTAGTAAAAATACTAATTTATACCATGGTTATCAAACTGATCATAGATTCGAATTGCAGAACTTCTTTCTTAAGTCTTATGGATTTGGGTTTAACCAATTAGGAACAGTGTTGAAGAGTACGACCAAATTGTCTTTTAAACTAGTTTAAACTATTGAATCTGAAGATTAGTTTTTTTAAATTTGAATATGCACTGTCGAAGTATTGGCAATTCACTAATTGAAGCAAATTGCTTATACTTTTCAATAATGTCAAATTAACTCTTAGTATTGATGTAGATGTGTGTGGAAATCGTTCAGTGAGAAATTAATTTACCATGGTTTAGCCTCACCTAGTGAATCGTGAAAATCAAATGAATATTAGTTAACTTGTTTTATTTTAGTTTAAGTGTACATTGTTGGATATTTTCAAACTAGAATGAAACAACTGTTTGTTGATCAGTGATTTTCAATGTTTTCCCTGAAATTCCCACAAACTAGTTGACTAACTATCAAAAACAGAATATTATAAGAAATATTCATCCTATTTCAAGAGAAACTAGCGATACACACTAGATGTTTAACTGCCATACAATAGGACTGATTTATTGTTCAGCCCACTCGGGTTCCCTGTTGCTTTTTTGAGATGATGAGGATCGGAGTAAACTATTTAGACATTAGTTTAGGTTTTCTAAATACATGTTAAATAAATTTTGATGGAATAGATTTTCATGAATTATATAATTTTTTAAAATTAATCCGATTGACGTTTAATGTTAAGTTATTGTCAGTAAGAAAGATCTGGACACAGGTTTCGAACAAGCTAACAACTTTTGGCAATGGTTCTGGTCATAAAACTGACTGGAATGAGTTTTAGTCCTCTTGAAAATATCAGATCCCAAAAATCTTTGAAATATACTTTGATAAAATATGACATCTAACACAAGACATGAGTCTACAGTTTACTTCTACTTGCCTCTTTAAGTGCTTGGTGATGCAAGTCAACTTGATTACACTGTAATTTGACTAGTAAAATAAAATCAGTAATGTGAACTACAGAAAAGAACATTGATTACCATGAAGAGATCATTTAGCGTTTAGCGTTGAATCAGATGAAGAAAATCGCTAATCAATGCACGGATCGAAGTACTCTAGTGCTTTTTTTACATGTTCAAACGTTTATTCCAGTAACACTTATTAAAAAGACAAAAATTACTTTTGTTTCCAACTGAAAATTTAATCACTTAGTTGGAAACCACCAATTACTTGAATAAATCATTTTTTCATTGTAAAAAACTTTCAACGTTACTCCCCCATGTAAGATATAAACATTACATTCCGTTTGCAATTTTTTAAAAAAGTAAAAAATGGATAAAACAAAAAATTTAATTATTTAAATGCCATTTACATACAAATACCTTTCATTCATTTGTTCTTCATATCCATGAGAGATAACGTTGACAACTGTAAATTTATCTATGTTGATTTTTATTTTCATTTCAGCTCATTCAACCAAATCCCAGTTGTCTAAACCAGAGACTGGTAAGTTATGAAAATAATATTTGCAAGCTATAATCTTCAAAATAATTGATTAGATCTAATTTACACCAAGGAATAAAGTATTATACTGTGTACAGTTATTTGGTTTATTTATTTATATAGCAGAGTTATATGGTTGTGCTAAGTCATACCTTCACTCTCTGAACATCTTTTTTGTCAAACGAAAACTATTCTAATTTTTCAATAGATTACAATGAGCATTGCTAATAAATTTCATGGAGAATAACAAGAAGCTTTAGATGTTTGAGTTAATCACCCTAAGATCAACTAGTATTACTGTCCGTGAACTTTCAGAAAATATAGTAATAATAACTTCTTGATGAATCTTTATCAACTTATGTCTCTAGCATCTGTAATAGTCAGTCATCTAATCAAAAATATATGAATTCAGAAGTTACGTATTCCTCTAATATTGGTGAGATGTTGCAAAACTTGACAAATGTTTCTTCATTACTGTCCTCTATTTGATATATAAGGCGACGAGGTAAAACATTCTGAGAGTGAATAGGTCTACGATAAAATTGATAAAACTGAACAAACTGAAATAGTTGAATTTCACATCTTGACTGAAACCTAACTATAATGCGAGTTGATTTCTTATCTTCCTTATTTGCCTTGTATTTCTTCATCTTTTCCTCTAAAGACTTTCATCTAATTGTTCGTACAGTTGAGAAATCGGCACTGACTTAGTTATCTCGACTATATTTTAGTTGTGGAATTATCATTTATCTTTATATAATTGTTATCTAGAACAAGAATAGAAAAGAAGGACCTCTTGCAAGCCATTCACTGACTGTTATTGTGAGTTATATAAAGATGTATAGACCTGCCATATGGAGTCTTAAAATATCTGAAACTAGGATAATAAGGACGTTAAGTGACATGATTCCAGTCCTTCTTTAGGTTTGAACATTCAATTACTGCTTACTTAATTATTTCAAGTTCACATATTCCCCTTGCCTAATATATTTTATTGTTTTCTTTATCTTTATTGGTCTGTCATTTACTTAAATTTCGTAATGTATGAACCCGAATGAATGAATTTTTATATATAGCTTAAGAGTTGTTATTCTGTTTGAATCCAAAACATTTTAAAGTTATATTTAGAAGGAGATTAATTGTCACTTTTCAAGTAGTAATAGTGTAATTTAAGACTTCAGAGACAAATATAAAGTCAAATAGTTATTCCAGAACATAAGATTAATTGAAAAATGGTTAGACAAAAACAGTGGGACTGTTAACTACCCCTTTTCTTCTCTCTATTATTTGTTAGACTGATAAGTTACTTAAAATAAATTTAAGTAATATAAATATATAACAGTAAATTCTAAACACAATTCAGTAGGTTTCCCCTAATTTGTTTGATGTAATGTAAATATTATCGTATTATTGTCATTTCATCTGATATTCAAACCTTTCATCATAAACAGGATGGCATAACTGTATGTAATCAATCTAAAATTTACATTTTATTTACAGTGAGAGTATTGTGAGAAATAAAACACAACAAGCCAGCTGTTATGTTATTCATTTAACAAGTTAAAACAACTAGATAAAAAGGTTACGAGGAATGTTTTCATGGTAAATCAACTACTGAAAACATACTGAATGGCAAATTCAGTTGAATTTTTGACTTACCATATTAAACAGTCTTTAACTGAAGGGAAATCACAACATTCATCAACCTGATCATTTAAACACAGTTAGACGCCCATGTACTCAGATAGCTAGTGGATTGAGATTATATTTACATCAGTCGCGCTACACTTGGCATTTTGATGACTACATATCATTACAATCCAAACACACTGAATAAATTTCAGCAACAATTATTTAAGAAGGCTTTAAAATTAATGGATTATAGATACAGTTAACTTCAAATTTTGGCGAAATTCGAACATGATAACCAAGTTATACTTTCTATTCTTTTAAAAAGTTGTGTCAATGGTTTTTATATTATTTCCCCTTTGTTTCTCTTACATATACAAATTTCAAGAATTCCACTTTATCTGGTGGAATTTTTAAATGATTAATAAGATATATGCACTAATTAATGGTCACGTCAGTAGAATGTTTTCGTTTCTCATGATTAAATTTTTGAAATGAATCTCCAGTTATAGGTATAATACATTCGAGACTGCTAACACCGACAGAAACCCTAACATATCTCCGTGAAAATCTATAAAAATATGCATATGATTAGTAATCAGTAAATCATACACATATCCAAATTGAGATATTGTCTTTGAGATGGTGGAGATATTGTCCTCTAGTTATTAATTATGTAGGTCTCACATTAACTTAAACCTATTCGATACACCATTCTCATTTGAAAGCTTCTTCCTCCAAATAACGATCTTACACTAGCTTCTGTAAAAGATCGTATTCATTTTAAATCAGACAATTTGAATTATTTTTATTAGTTTCTGAAAGTAAAACGAAGACCATATTAATTAATTGAGTAAGGCATACTTCAATAAACTAATAAATTAGAGTGAAATGAAAACATCCCATCAACACAACTCAATTAGAGTGTATGCGTACTATTAGAAAATATGAAACATGTTTAAAAGTTGCTGGAATTTCTATCAGATGATGTGAAACTTGTGAAATCTGAAGGAGAAAACCAAAAGAGTTTTTTATTTAATAAAATAAATTTACATTATCATTGAAACATGAGTTCATTCTTGAATCAACATTCAAGATGTTTTTCAATATGATTTCTCTCTTTTTATCAAAAAAAATTTAAAAAAAAACATCATTTAGATATCAATTGTCCTCCATGTGAAAGAAGTAAAAAAAGAATAAGATTTAAGAAGTTTTGTCGTTGTGAAGCTGGTAAGTTTAGCTGTCGTTTTTATAATCATTACTATTAATCTTTTCCTATGTTCCAGTACATGGAATGTTTACACCTTAGTATATATTCTTTACTAGGAGACAATCTTAATCTCAATCACGCTAACAAGATATAAATGAATGTAACTTTTTAAGTTTGACCTTGAACACAAATTGATCATATGATTTATTGACCTCCATAAACAATAAAAGTAACTGACTATTCTCTCATTAAATCTACATTGAGTAAATAAGAATTATTTACAGATAACTTCAGTATAAATTACTACAGTTGAAAAAAACAACAAGTTTAAAATGTAATGGATGTGCAGAGATTTGTTTCAGAACTGTTTGCTGATTACATTAAATTGTGTGTCTTTACACAATTTCAAGAATGTCTTCGTAAATTTCAGTTATCTTTAAATTTGATCAATGTTATCTCTTCTTTTCGCAAAAGTTATTACCATCCCTAAGGGACTAGTCGGCAGTAAACCATGATGATTCGTCTTGATCTAAAAAACCTGCACCTCCGAGTCTAGAAAGTCAATGAAAACTTAATGATTAAAACACCCATCTCAAAGAACATAATACTTTCAAAAACCTCCTCCTGAGTTAAAAATCTTCCCCATCGTATTTATGTCTATAAAAATGATTAAAAGGCTAAGGAAACTATCGGTAAAAATATCAAAATTTTATCTCTAGTCCGCCTCCAGTATATCTATTCTAGAACTGAGATGATGTATTCTCAAGCTATTCCTCAATAGATAGCTGGCTGGATGATATGAAACTATGGCATAGAATACTAGCAATTTTCACAATCGGTGATACATCAATAAGGTAAAAGTTTGTCTAGGTAACGCGCTAAATGGGATCTGATTTGAACATAATTAATATCTCTAATCACTATCCATCATCCTTTAACCCTAGTTAAGAATATTAAATGGTAAAGCTACTTTCTTCCTAGAAATCATTCAGACCAATAGAATGCTTCTTAATGAATTTCTTACAAAATATAATCAAATATCTAGGTATAAACACTTATTGATTAGACTACTGCGTTACCTTGTCCTTTCATCCCTGACCGTTAGTCTTATGAAAAGCGATACTTAAAATTTGTTGTTTTATTTGATCCAAATAGTAGATTCATAGGAATTTCCAAGCTGAGGAAAACCCCGATGTCGATCATTGTGCAAAGGAAATAGGTGCTTTCATGATAAAATAAGTATTGTATCCGGATCACCACTGTTATAACTGGAAAGCTGGCTCCGTCGGGGATGTTATAAGTGAGTAGCTAGCTCTTACGTATCGAACCTGTTGAGTCCACAGTCTTACTGTTTTTACTTGACAATCGAGAACCACTGTTATTCCTCGATCTCACTGCTTATATTGGAAACCGAGAACCACCACAATTACCACGAAGCAGTGATAATATGATAGACTAGTACGGTGAACGTTTATTGACTCCCCAAATACAGGCCCAATAATAAGTCCTAAAATTACAGCACCTTTAGACCATGATACAATCGTCTATATACCAAATTTTACGTGCTTTATAATGACATATATAGGGAGAAAATACATAGGGTTCCTGCAAAAAACACTAGACAAAGCTTACCTGAATTCATACAGGGAATAAAATTGTCGCACCGAGAGTTCACACCTGTCACTCTGTCTGGAATTCATAATGAATATTTATTGGCCTGAGATCTGACTCCAGGTAGGTCGTTTGCTGTTTGTTATCGAAATATACATGCCTCCAATCCTCGCACATAGTTATCGACTTCACTCACGTAAGTGAATAACGGAATTACATAAGTCAAATAAGAGAACGAAGTATAAATGCGTATATTTTATACAATCGTTGATCTGAACAGACAGATAGGGAGATGGAGCAAAGGAAGCGAAGAAGAGAGATAAAAGCGAAACTAAATGACCAACAGTAAAGAAGGTTAGTGAGCCGGCTTAATTTAGCCAACAATGACTCGTTATTTACAGTCGAACAAAAATAAGTTACAGACACATAACGAGTAAGGTATGTAATTGACACACATGCAATTATATGAAAAACGTAAGGATTAATAAGAGAATAACTGACAGGGTCAACATGTGACTCAAGAAGAATGAATAAACTGGTCAGTCTGGAAGCTAGAAAAACCCATGTGGGCTTGACTAAGAACTACGTACTAAAGTCAGATATGTATTCTGAGTGTATTGACTATTAGTTACAAGATTTTAGTAAGCTAAATTGAGGCTGTCAATAAAATTTAGGACTCATGGACGAGACTATAATTTATGGACGAACCGATCAGATTTAGGATAACAGATCGTGGATTTTGGCGCGAACTCTGCTCACCCATTTGTCTAAATAGCGTTTTGACATTATAGGTGATGTCAGTTCGTGATGAAAACCATAAGTCTAGTTCTTAAATCTAACTATAAACTGTAAATCATAATTGGAATTCCTCACACTAGTTTATAAGCCTCATTTAGCCACAGTAAGTAGGGCATTCTCAAGGTCACTTTAGATTCGCTCAAAGGTCGTCTATAAATTATAGTCTCACCAACTCATGTTTTGTCTTACTTCGAGCTCCTTACTTGAGTGTACCTCCATCTCAATGTTTATGTTCACATCCATGCTCCAATGATTTAACTAATAAACTGATGAGTCTACATAGCTGATAGATTTTTCAACAAGTATGAAGTTATTTTTCAGGGTTTGTATTTTCCTGAATAGGAAAACTGCGTGTCCTAGATTCCTCTGCCACTCGAAAGACAGTCTTACTATGAGACGATTAATAACAAAAGGGAAGTTAATATGTGTCATTTAGCACCAAGCCATGCAGGTTTTCAGTTTTTAAAATATTATTAAAACCAATTATTTCTGAGCTAATAATGCTATTTGAATCTTGTTAGATGAAGTTGTGGTAGTCGGTATTCCATATAATCCCTGAACTTCGTCTTGATAACCGTCACTAAATAACGCCCCAACGGTATATTAATCAGAAGGCGAATACGAAGTGTTGAATACGTTTATTATGGGACCACACACAAATATCCAAAATTACAGGTGAGTTAAACAAGCATGAAAGAGTTGTGCCGAGAGGCAAGCAGGCAAGCGAGCGAGCGAGTGAGTCAGCGAATGTGACTACGAGTAAGCGAGTACACTTAAGCGAGAAGGTAGACATAATACTCAAGACAAAATAATTCTTCAACTATTCAATCATAAATGTATTACATAAGATCTAAAGTTACGTCCTACGGTTATCAGTCGATAAATGATAGCAAATAATATACGTGTAAATTCTATTTCAAAAATGAACACTCTAGAAAATTGACCTATACACGAATAAACATTAAGGAAGAGAATAGATGCCATTATTGATACAGAAAAGTTTTATTACAATGTGATTATCTTCAGTGAATATTTGATTTCTTCATAGTAAGAAAATCGGTTTAAATACATAAGGTATCTCTAACTGTAATAGATTTTGATGAATGTACTTATAATAATTTATACAAAACTAAACAATCATAATCAGTGTTTTTTACAATTGTTTTTATAAACCTATTAATATAGATTCACTTGATGTTGTTTTACATGTATCTTCTCATTGTAATTTAGGACTACAATTGATCAATCTCATGTTGGCATATATGCATCCTATGCGGATTGCCTCTATATAGTCTTAAGTCACAAGCGTTTTAAGCTAAGATGGATAGTGGCTAGCAGTGGAATACAGGATGCGCGTCTCGTCCTACTTAGGACTTGTCAGCTGGATGTATCTGAATCTCAGAGTTGACGTTCACTGTGGGACTCTAATTCAGTATCATTCGCTTATCTCAATTGCACAAGCAAGTGGCTATCAGGACTTAGTAGCTGAGTGCATAATGCAATGACATTTGAAGCAAACGGTACTAAGTTCGAGTCCCAGAGTGAACATCAACTCTGAAATTCAGGTGCATCCAATTGACGAGTCCCAATAAGGACGAGACGGGCGTCCTGGATTCCACTGCTAGCCACTATCCATCTTTGCTATTAATACAGAATTCAAAGTTTTCCAATGAACAGATTTATTAACTTAATTTTTTCTTAAGAAAACCATTGGACCATCTGAATATGATGACGTTATTTACGACTGTGACATACTCACATGTAGTTCGAGTAGTAAATAACGAAATGAAGTGTTGTTTTTTTGTGAAACACACATGTAAACTAAAATTGTGCATATTTACGTTATTTGTTTGTTAGTTTATTTTAACCAATTCAAATTTCTATGGAAAACATAAAATTAAGTGATTCATTTTCAGATAGAATTTCTGATATGATTCCTTAAAATACGAAAAAAAAGAACACATAAGAGGATAGTCAAAATCTGGTTAACAAATAAACTAATCTAATTTCCTTAACAATACACTAGACAATCTTAATCCTCATTTTGTGAAATATTTCTATCTTTAATAAGATGTTATATTGAATAAATAGCATGTGGTAGCAATGAATAAAATATACTTTGCACTGTAATTAACAAGTGTACATGATAATGACAAAGAATTTAGTGTGAAAGGTACAAGTTTCTATCACAATAAATCAATGAAAAGTGTAGTACACACGTATGTGAATCAACTAAATGTATGATATATTTATATGTGCAAATATCAGATCAATAAATTTGTTCACATTACTTAACAAGATAAGGTTTTCTAAAACACAAAAAGTTGATGATCATGTAGTCTATGATCGAATTTCGATATTCTGAAAATCGTTATTCATTCAGCTATCGATTTATCATTCTTAGTATCATTCCTTTTAAATATAATATGGTTGACACTGCTAATTCATGAATCAAACTAACTTATTGGTAGTACCAATGTATAAAACACGCAATCAATAAATTTTAATCAAACTACCCGTCAATGATTTATGTCCTGTAAGATTAATTTCTAACAACATCCAGGAGTTGTTATTTATTAGGGCTTATTTATCATACTCTCAATGGGATACATAATGATATTAAGTCATTGGATCTAGTAAGCACATAAAATTGAGTGAACCGAATCTCTTGGGGGGATTTAATAGTATAATACTGATAATTATTCAGTGTTTAATTAAGAAAAATGAAGTTCTCCGGAAATTCAGATACATTTTGTTTATGAATACCAAGATTATATGGAACCTATTTTTTCAAGCCATTCTATGGTTTATCTGGATCCGTTTACTGTTAAATTCTGCGTCATGCGATAATAGGTTAAATAACTAGTGATTTACTTTCGTTTTTTAATTGATGCTTTTGTATGTACACTGGAAAAAAATACATCGTGACATTGATTAACTTCCAGGAAGCAAAAATTGACAACTAATGTTAGTTTATATACAGATATATCTGTCACAGTATTGTTGTTGTAATTCAAACCTACGTTTTGATTAATCTAAACGAAACACTCTATGTTCTTGATAATTACGTTTTATTATCAAGGAGAGTAACTAGAATAAGTGGTAGTAACAATATAACATTAATTGAAACCAGACTATATAATATTTTCTTCATATTACTTGATTAATCTGAATAATTTGAGTTATTCAACTAGACTGACCGAGTCAGAAATGTTTGTAAAAAAAGAATATCCTAACCTATGACTTTCTGTATAAACTAGTACTAAATCGTAGATTGATTAAGCTTATCTACCAAGTTGACTCATCCCTCCCAGATTATATTAATGCCTTAAGAATCATATATAACAAAGTATCAATCCGTAGAGTAGACCCTAATTAATGTATTTTTGATTGATTCATAATTTCAGTTAAGAAGTTTTATATTAGTTGTTATTTATTTATATTAGTGGATAGGATTTGTAGGCAATTGAATTGAGACTTGTGTAACTGAGTTATGTAATGGAGAACGGTTCTCCAGCCTTTACATTCTCTGTCGTTTGATAGGAGAATTATTATTCAAATAGGATAATCTAGACGAAGAAATTTACCTTTCCTTTTATCCAATTCTGATTAATTTCAATGGATTTGAATTATGAAGAAACGTAAAAATACAGAATTCCACATATAGTCACTTATAGTACTCTGTAATTATACCAAAATCAAGATGTAGTTTTCAGTCGTCATATGGTATTTAATAATTTATCTAAAGGTTGACTCCATACTCATCATCGGTAAAATGGTTAAACAACCAATGAAAGGAGCGTCATATATCAACAATATGAAGAACATAGCTATTACTACAATGATCTATGTAAGCAGCTGTTTCCATGGGAAATTTCTGCTATCAGATATAACTATGTTGAGCTGAAAGCGTTAATCGTTATTCTTCTATTGAACTTTTTATAATATTATAAAACCATTTTATGGTAAACAGCTTCATCGAAGAGACCAACCTTCATAAGTTCCATTGAATTCATATCATCAATAAAATTTTATCCTTTAGAATTTTTATCAGTTATAATTCATAAAGAAGAGTGTTAAAGTTAACCAAGTTCAAACTCGTATAGAAGGCTTAATAAGTCGATCTTATCACATAGTAAATAGGGAAAATTCTTATTCTCTCTCCCCCCATTTCAAAATAGAAGCTGTTAGTAGTTTTCAATTTGTTAAGCAAGGGAATTCAATGTATTTTTGTTTAGGTAAAATCAAGTGAACTTTAAATAATCATGCATTGACATTAACTTTCAGAATTTGAATTTAGTGGAATAACATTGAAGTTGTTATCTTTTTCTTGACTAGTTCACCAATCTAGTAGAGTTTTTAACAAATAACTCAATAAAATTTATTTCACATTTGTTCAGCAACATTGCAATTAACCTTAAATAGGTTTTTACATTTAAATTAAAATGAAGAGCAAAATAAGTTTCAAACAAACAGTTGAAAAACGGATAGAAACTATAAAATGATTCAAATTGAAATGGTTTGGATTATCTCGTTGTGAAGAATTTTCACTGAAATATGACCAGTCTCGGTTGACATATGTGTATCGTGTGTGGATTGTCTCTAAATAGACATTATGATACAAGTTCATATAGAATAGATGGAATGTGGTTAGCAGTGAAATGGAAGACTTGGGTTTCTTCCTATATGGGATTCGTCAGTTGGATGTACCTGAATCCCAAATCTGATGTTCATTCTAAAACAACAATCCAATACCATACGCTTTAAAATCCATCGCGTTATTCGCTTAGCCACGGAGTGCTAGTTTAAAAATCAACCAATTCATGACTTTAGCCAACTTATTCCCTAGTATTATATGTTTTATTATTTTCATAGAATAATCAAGAAATTTAAGAATTTTTAATTTGCCTCTATAGCTTTCAAGTATTTGTCGTCAGAAATAGTTTATTGTGGATATAAATAACAAATAATATATTCAAGTTTGTTGGTTGGAAAACTATTGCCAGTAAACGAAATCGCTGGGAAATGATCATAAATATCGACGTATTTAGAATAAATAATCTATTGATGATTAAAACTAAAATTAGTCTAAGTGATACTTTATTATGGGATGAAGTGGTCTATAATATGAAGGGTTTTTCCCTTCTAATTAAACAGTTATATACAAATCATGAGAAATAACAAGTTTTATGATGAACATTTTGCATTATTAATGAATAAGCTATAATATATAAAGTTAATAAATTTCTTTCTTTCCATAGTTTTTCGTGGCATAGTCAAATCTCGAACAGTTCATGGAGATTTAATGCGTCTTGAAGTCGACATTCAAAACACATGGCGTATTACTGGAACAGCTGAACATTTATTACCTAAAACAGCATCGCCAAATCTACCAGCCTATCGAGTTTGGTTACGCATCAAAAATAACTCAGCAGATAAACGTCATTCACGATGTCTATGTCCAAACCTTCAAGTTGGTCAATCATATTTGTTCATAACACGTTCGCATCAGGTATTATGAAATAATTTTAATGCTGATTCGTGTTCATAGTAAATTATTTTGTATATGATAGAACTATTATATAAGTTTATATTGAAATAACTACACTTAAAACACAGTTAAGAACAACACATGCTTAAAATGAGATAAGTGTATATCAATCACATAGTGTTGATTAATCAGTACTTCTGTAGTGGCTGTGCTTCGTCGACCAATCACCCTCGTAACCGTTATCATATAATACCCAACGGTGTTTGGAATCAGAAGGCAAAGAGAAGCAGTGACTATAGTTTTATTAGCAGATAACTCAGACCACAAAGCAGAGAGGCAACTAAGTGAGTCAGCGAACCGAGAGTGTAGTGTCAAATGTAAACGTATATATATGAATGGATCATCGAATCAATTAGGCAGTTATTAATCAAGCTAGCAGAATGAATATATCCGTAGGCGGTAAACAATGTTCAAGCATACATATTCCATACAAGCACAACATTAATAAAGATACAATAAGTTGTTATAGTACGGGTGACTTTGTCCGCTAAATAAGTTAACAAAAGGGGCATAACTGAGTTAAATGAGAACAAACTCAATTGCACGTGAGCTGCTATACTTCGATTAACTAAAAAGTAAACTTTTTTTTGACTATTTGCTCACTAAGTTGAGTTTAATTTCATCCGCCAGACATCACTTGAACTACTAACGATCATTCTTTAACTAATTAAAGTCTGTTCTTTTTCCTCATTACCTCTCTATAATAATAAGTTTTAAGATTTTCTTGATACCACCTTCAATACAACCTTTCTATTATACAATTTTGTTGTAACTGTTAACATTTCACTAAGACCAATTATGATTCAGAGGCATCAGTAGAATCATCTCAGTTTAATTATTACCAACGTTTGCAGAATGAGCTGTTTTAAAAAGTTAATATTAAAGACAATTTATAGAGGTATTATATTATGTTATATTGTAGTGGCTTGGCTTCGAGATTATTCCGTATGTTTCGTTTATCAAACACCTTGATAACTGTTGTCATATAAATCCCAATAGTGTACGAGTTCAGAAGACAATCGTCACCAGAACAAACTTCAGATAGAAGTGAGCTATCAGAATTTCTCAACATAAAATTAACAGCTTCTTTTGTTCACAATAAATTCAATTGGTTGTTATCATACAATATTTGTCTTGTTATTGTCTGGATTTTATTTTAATTAAGTTCCCTCTTGACCTTACGGTTGTTTAGAATTTTTCTAATCGGTCGATAAACATGACCCATTTTGGTTTGAAAATGAAATTTATTGTTGACAAAATATACTGTTAGTTATGTGAAGAATAACTCAGTTCTATTTGATGTTTGTGCTGATGATATTGTCTGAAAATACAATAAAAGTTTCACTATTAGATCACCCAGCATAAATAACAAAACTCCATCAAAAAAACAATTTTACATGTTCTTTATAGTCAATTTTCATCTATTTAAACAAATGGATAGTGTATCATAGGCTTTAATTATTAACTTAAATAGCTATTGTGTAACTGATAGGTTGATTGATTTTAGTTAATTTTGTCAACTGTACAACATGTAACGTTAACTGGAGAAAAGCTTATTTATAATTTATATACATAAGTATATTGCTTCAACTACTCAATCTCCTGTCATCTATGGGATAAATCATATACAACTATTATGGTTAAAGTGACTTAATGAATATTTCCTGCTTTGATATAAGCATTTAATGTGTGTAATCATCTCATGTATCTTGCCATTATTATAAACTGAACATTCGAATCTAAATTCATCCTTAAAACTTGTTCTCATTTCTTAAAAAGTATATCATGCTTAGAAATCGAAAAAATTTACACCAAAGTTGTATTTTTTTTCTCTTCATTTAGACTATGGTATTTGTTTCTTTTAATATCTAAAATAAATTCAAATGAAAATGTTGCATCAATAAATTTCAATCCAATTTCATCAACATTTTACACTTTAAAAATTGAATATTTCACAGAACTAGTGTTTATATTATTCCCGAGTTTGAAATTAAGCCATAGAGGTTAAACGTTCGCGCGCGTGACCGATAGGTAATGGGTTCGAATCTCGTAAGGCGGTATCGTGAATGTGCACTGCTGAAAAGTCCCAAAATAGGACGAAACGGCCGTCCAGTGCTTCCAGGTTTTGAATGATGGTCTAACTTCAATTGACTCATGATCTCAACTACTTAAATTAAAATATTTGTTAATTTTCGAACAAACCAAAAATCTAGTAGATACTCTATTAAATCTGTATAATTGATGAACAATAGTCAACTAATTATCATATTACAAAGATTATTGAATAGTTGTTTTGTATATTTAGAAATCAATCAAAATTTTTTTAGCGTTTATGAGGAAAAAATAGCCTAACTGGGTTCACGTACCTAGTGATCAATCATGAAAATGACCACTTTTCTGTGATAAAGAACAATCTGTTAGTCAGTAAATGTTGGACGAAACTAGATGATCTAATGTAACTTATGAGTAATCTCTTTATTGTATAAGGCATTACTGTACTATGAAACCGTCTAAACTATGAACTTATGATTATTTGACGATTAAGCAAGAGGTCATTTCGACTATTCATAGCTCTTTAAGAAGTTATGCTTGAACACACCATAAGTTTTTATTTCAATAACGACAGAAGTGTTTAAATTTTTAGCTGACTGGTATAATAATCATGTGCATCAGGTAGCTTGATTAAATATATAGTTATATGGTCATTATTCAATTGGATCCACACGACATCTGTCAATAAACGTCTTTATTGGATAATTTAAAAGCAAAATATATACGATGAACTTTTCTTCCTGACAAAAAGTTTTAGAAAGCTAACAATAAAACACATCCACCTAACGAATAACAATATCAAGGCAAAAATAAACAAATTAGTTTAAAAAATTCCAAACAAACAATATAATATGGATGGATTATCAAATACACCTGATGGGTTATTAAAGGTAAGAAATGCAACACTCAACTTTCGTGGGGCGATATTATAATTTAGGAAAGAACCGATCAGATTTAGGATAACAGATCGTGGATTTTGGCGCGAACTCTGCTCACCCATTTGTCTAAATAGCGTTTTGACATTATAGGTGATGTCAGTTCGTGATGAAAACCATAAATCTAAATCTTAACTCTGACTATCAACTGTAAATCATAATTGGAATTCCTCACACTAATTTACAACCCTCATTTAGTCCCAGTAAGTAGATGGGCACTTTCAAGGTCACATTAGAGTCGCTCAAAGGACGTCTATAAATTATAGTCTAACCTTTCGTAGTGCTAGAAAGGTGAAGTACTTATTTTAAGACAACTGATCCTCTTTGTGGGGTCGAAATTCTAATCATTCAGTAATACAGTTAAAGATATTACCAGCGACTAAATTCCTGATAAGTTAAGAACACTATCAAACGATAGACAGATCTTTATCAGTACTAAGGAATAAACAGATAATATAAATTACTAATCAGTGATCAGTCAATGTACTCAAATCTGTACTTGATAAGTAAAAAGCAACAAATAAAATATATTTTCAATAGTTGAGATCATGAGTCAAATGAAGCTAGATCACCTTGGAAAACCTGGAATCACTGGACGGCCGTTTCGTCCTATTGTGGGACTCCTCAGTAGTGCGCATCTACGACCCCACCTCGCGGGATTCGAACCCATGACCTATCAGTCTCGCACGCGAGCGCTTAACCACTTGGCCACTGAGCCGGCATCCAACGACCGTCCATTACTTCCAGGTTTTCCATGGTGATCTAGCTTCAATTGACTCATGATCTCAACTGCTGAAATTACTACAATCTCCACAAAACCCCTTCTGATACTAAATAAAATATACCAAAAACATTTTCATGATGCAGTCATTCAGGTTTATTTCTGAATGATAGAGTTAAAAATGATAAATAAACAGATAAATAAATTATTATTTGGATATTCTGATAATACCAGTTATTGTTGAAATTTTCGATATGCATTACATTTAATTTTTAATTTTAGAATAAAAATTCAACTTTCATTGAACTTAATATTATTAACAATACCAAATGAAATTTCCATGGCAATAAACATTAATTCATACTTTATAATAATTTATTTATTTATTTTAACACATAGATATTGTTACAAGGAGGCACCAAATACATATGCGCCACACAAATCTCATTGGATATGTGTGAGGGCTGTGATACTGTCCGGTGCCCAAACCGAAGCGGGTGGTTTTCTTAGGGGGCCACTCTCCGAGCCTTGGACCTAAAGGTCTGATCCACAAGACAGTGGAGCATCTTGAGGAGATGCAGTCCCGTGGTAGCCGGTGACCAACGACTGGTTCATACGCCATTTGTTCCCATAGGATACTGGAGCCCATGTGCACCATTGGTTTGGAATTCCGTTAAAGTGCCGGACATTCACTCTTCGTCCTCTCATTTTCGTAAACAACACCGCCGCCACGAGAAGGCAGTGAGTAGGACTTCCCTGGCACAGGCTATATACGCGTGGCCATGTGAGAGCATTTCGAGAGGGAGAGCGAACTCTTCCCACTCTCGGCCGTACTAGGGCATTTTATAATAATATTTAATTGGTCATTAAAAACAGTGAGGACTTTTTGAATAAATAATAATGATAATAATAAAGAAACACTTATCATTGGAAATGTATCGAATAAAAAATAGTTTAGTTTTATATTGCTAACGATTGCACTACAAAAAAAGTATTTTGATGATGATGAAGATGATCAACTATGCACATTTACCAATAAAACTTGATTATTCCAACTCAATAAATCAATAGAAATGATAAATATATCAAACTTCATTTATAATTTAAATTTCCATACACGCTTTCCTGATCAGAATAAGTAGAATATTGTAGAAGAGAGAGGTTTTATCAAAGGTATATATTACTATACGTGACTGAATATCATAAATCAATGACTGAATAAAAGTTTAAACAATCTATCAAGGGAAAATTCTTACCCTACTCTTGAACTGATTAGGATACAAACAAAAACAAAACCGAATTGACGGTATATGGATATTTCTAAGATGAGATAAAACTGGTCTAGATTAACTGAAGATGCGTTTTGTTTAATATTCTAAACTATAAAATACCTAATTCAGTTGATCAGTTTGGAAGATAATCATTCTTGTAGGAAATGTAATTAGAAATTAAATCATCAAGTATCAATTATCTATGACTAGGTTTGAAAAAATGATTCCATGAAATTTACAACACTAATTAGCCATTCTGTTGAATTACCAATAAATATGGTATTACTCACTTATCAGGTCAGGGTTTATGTACTCGGCTCTCAGTCACACTGTTTATATTATATAACTTGACTGATCAAAATAAAGTAGGTAGTTTGAGGTTCAACAAGGTGGTTGGTAGTTGACTGTCTCAACCACTTCATTAAACTAGACTAGGCAACATAAAATTTGAGCTTACGGATAAGTATTGATTATTGATATCTGATCTACTTCCGATTCGATTAAATTCCACCAGTTACAACTTTTTTTTTAGAACTTCACAAACCCATCTTGAAGTGGCTTCATGATTAAGATTTAGCTAAAACAGTTTTTTAAGAGAACTCATCGAAGAAAACTATTTCACCTGTTTCTGTGTTATCATTTCACTTTGATACATTAGTCTAAATAATTCACTTATTCAATTTGGATAGTTTGAAAGTAAATACCTGATGAACGTAGTGTTAAAGACAATATTCTAAGGGCATATTATTTCAGTTTACTTAACAAATGATCTAACTATCGTACGAAAATGTTATTCTAACGACAAATTTATTTGATAACAAAAGTACTCATCTGTTCCTGTTAGCTTTATTGGTGTAAAGTAGATGGTAATATTTTGTTTTTCAATTTCAATTTGCTATATTTCCAAATGTAGTCGATTTGTGATGTAGTCCAGCTATCATCTATTGTTGTCGGTGATAACTGTTTCACTATCGTGCATGGTTCGACTGTCCTCACAAGTTGCAATTTCTCGAAAAAACCTTCACGAATTTATTTCAAAGTCAATCACTAGTGAACACTTAATTACGATTTAGTTGAGCGGTTTGTCTAGGGTGATCTTACCTTATCTGTTTCTATTTGGAGAAGTGAAATATTCTCAAAGTGTTTTATTGTTTACATATTACTTAGCCAAAGAATTTCATTTCTTTTTCAAAGTTCAAATATTTTAAGACAAATAAGCGTATCTGCCAAATAGAATTTCAAAACAAATGAGGTCGAATTCATAGATTATAGTTAAAAAAACGCGTGTGTTTCTAACTCTAAACAATTGTTTGGTAAGTGTTTAAATTCAGTTTCATTTACATCTATGTATTGATACTAGACTACACAAACCTATGAATACTAATTATACGATATAGATAGTGTATCAAGTGTAAATGTCAAGGTTATAACCCACATTTTCACCAGCACAAAAGTAATACTAACAATATATATATATATATATATATATATATATATATATATATATATATATATATATATATATATATATATATATATATATATATATAAACTATATGAGTCATTTGTTTAAAATAAACTGAATTTCGTTTAAAATCTGCTGTACAACTGTAATTTTACCGGTATTTTTTTTATTTACCACACAGGTCCCATATGGCGATCGAATGGAGTTATTACTTGACACACATAGTGTAGTATTAAAATGGAGAGAATCATGGAGAAGACGATTGTCAAAATTTGTACGTCGTGCTGCACGTGAATCATGTGATAGTGAGAAAAATTCAGTTACTGATGACGACAATATTGATGATAGCAATAATGATAAATTAAAAAGAACTCGTCAAGTACAACGGTTACGTCTAGGTTCTGATTACTATTCGTCAAACAATCAAGTGAATCAACATAATCGAATACAATCCCACACTTCACCTTCAACATTATCATCGAATTACCAGTTGAATAGGTTAAGGTCACCCACAAAACTATCATCTAACAAATTAAAAAAACAAATCAGTCAATCATCCATCATTTCCGACCCACATAGTTCTAAAGAGGTTAGTTTAAATTACCCACATGATAAGGATAAATTTCAATATATAACCAATAAAAATATGTATTCATCATTTTATTCAAATCAATAAATTCAGGTCAAAATATAATTACAAGAAATGAAATACTATATCATGGAAACAATGTTAACTAGTTAAATGTAGTTAACAATATCGATGTACAGTATTATTGTTTTGAATATAATTCCCCCCACCCTCCAAAAAAATATAAAAAAATAAAAACATCAAATAAATTGAACTATCAAACGGTGAGCTTTTTTTTAACGAAAACAAACAAACAAACAAACTATTTCAACCGTATTTATTGATTAGAAGGGAAAAGAAAAAAGCAATTTATTTATGAATCAGGTATAACTAATAGGCACAAAATAAATAAATAAATAAATAAATACTTGTTATAACGTTTAAATAATTAACTTGTCATGGATTGAGATTTTCTCATATTGAAAATAAGTTAATAATAATTATATACTTGTGTTGATATACAATTACTATTTCATTATTCAATTAATTATTTGTTCTATTATCTATCAAAAATCGATCATTATTATTCATAAAATTAATTATACTAATTAATGATAAATATTAATTCATTTACAATATAATCAATATTATTTATTATTAATATATAGTTTAAATTGTTTAAATAATTAAATATAATCATTCAATATGTTTATGATACAATAAAATTTCAAATGAATATTCATTATTGAATTGATATAATGTAAGTTTCATAAAAGATAATTAATGTGAATCATTTACATTGATGTCTAATAAATTTCTACCTCATATTCTATTTCATTGGTCTTATCACCCATTTTCTTTCTTCTTTCTATTCTTGTTTATTGGTTTTAATTATTTAACAGAATTATTCATTAAAACAATATATTAAATGGATTATTGATTTTAAAAAAAAAAGAAAGGTATTAAAGGATTTGTGTTTATGTTTAATTATCTATCTATATGTTGTTTTGCTTTAACCATATCTTTTCCTTATACAACAAAAACAAAAAATCATATTCATATTAAAATTATATTCTAATGAAAAATATATTATATTCTGCTTACTATTTTACATTTTCTAATTGAATATAATTTCACAATTGAATCATTGATGAAAGTAAAATCTTCAACGAAAGAAATTCATTGTAATATCTTCGAAAAACAAGCTTACTTTATATATTTGTGTTGTGTAATTATGAAGAGTAAATCTCATTAGGTTAACAGTGATTTTTTGATTAAACTTAATTTGAAATACATTGTCAACATAATCTATTTGCTAAACAAAATTACAATAGTTGAGATTATGAGTCCATTGAAGCTAGACCATCATGGAAAATCTAGAAGCACTGGACGGCTGTTTCGTTCTAGTAGAGGACTCTTCAGCAGTGTGCATGCATGATCCCGCCTTGCGAGATTCGAACCCATGACCTATCAGTCTCACGCGTGAGAGCTCAACCAATAGACCACTAAGACGGCAACCAATGGTGTTAGTGTCTAACTTCAACTAATCCGAGAAATTGAGCGACATATCCACCATTGTGAGTTACTACCTCATAATTGACCCGATTGAACTCCATTGATCACTGCTTCTCACCAGAACTCCAGGATATACATCTTGAAGCCAGTCACTAGTGAGCATTTGTCGATCAGCATCAGAATGACTTTTGTGGAAATTGTAGTAATATCAATAGTTGAAATTACTTTAAGTTTTCAATAATATTAATGAATGCATTATATTTGTTATAACTTGTAGCCTTGTATCCTATTTATATATAGCATAATGATACCACCAATTAGGGAACAGTGATTTATCAACCGCACCAATGATAAATAAAACCTGTACAAGCAGTCTAGAGACTTTATCGGTCCTTCTTCCAGCCTAACCATGACTGTTAATTCCAGAACATCAACCTCAGCCTCTGAGATATCAAACATATATTTCAAACATACTGGTGCGGTGGTCGTTATTCAATATAATCCTTAAACTTCGTATACAGTTCGGCTTAACAACCATCACTAGATAACGCCACAACGGTTTATTGATCAGAAGGCGAATACGAAGTGTTGATTACGTTTATTATGGGACCACACACAGATATCCAAAATTACAGGCGCGTTGAACAAGCATGAAAGAGTTGTGCCGAGAGGCAAGCAGGCAAGCGAGCGAGCGAGTGAGTCAGCGAATGTGAGTACGAGTACAATTAAGCGAGAGAGAGAGCAGCGAACATGAATACAATGGACATATATATACATAGTGAAGTGAATGAATGAATCATCGAATCAATTTAGCGGTTAGTAGTAAGGCTAGCAGTGTGAATAAATGCATAGGCAGTAAGCAATGCTCAAGCATACATTCGCAGCAATAATAAAGATACAATGATATAGATAAGTGTTGTTGTACGGATGATTCAGTTCGTTAATAAATTAACAAAATGACTTAATCGAACTAAATGTGAACAAACTCAATTGCACGTGGGTTACTATACTGGGTTTATATACAAACCAAACAGATCACATCGTGCCATAAAATGGACCAATAGACCAGGCAGAACTCAAGAACGTTAAATCGTATAATAATAGTCTATGGGTCAAAATAAAGCTTCTAAGAAGAGGAACATGAATACGCATAGTTTAGCTACTTATTAATTTTGCAATAAAAATATATGTATCGCATTTGTCTATAAATAGTTCTCAAGAGTTACCACTCATAATTCTCGCCGGGATATAACAGTATCAAACACTAATTCATTAACATGTCAGTATTTCACTCAATTTGAAATAATTTGGATTATCTCGTTGTGAAGAATTTTCACTGAAATATGACCAGTCTCGGTTGACATATGTGTATCGTGTGTGGATTGTCTCTAAAGTCATTATGATACAAGTTCATATAGAATAGATGGAATGTGGTTAGCAGTGGAATGGAAGACTTGGGTTTCTTCCTACATGGGATTCGTCCGTTGGATGTACCTGAATCCCAAATCTGATGTTCATTCTAAGAGAATAATCCAATACCATACGCTTCAAACCCAGTCGCATTATTCACTTAACTATTGAGTTCAGATAGTCGCTTATCTGTGCAACGGGTTTCATAGTAAACTCAATTTTAAGTGGTTTGGATCTAGTCTTGGAGTGACCATCAACCATGGGATGCAGGTACATCCATGTGACGAAACGCGCGTCCCGGATTCAGACTCAGTAATCGAAATGTTGATATGCTAGCTATGGAATTTAATAGTTCATCGTACAGCTTCAAACTGCCCCCAAATGCCCTGGTATGGCCGAGAGTGAAGTGGGCCCGCCCTTCTCGAAATGCCCTCACACGGCCACGTGTATACAGCCACCGCTAGAGAAGTCCTACTCATTGCCTTCTCGTGGCGGGGGTGTTGTTTACGAAATTGAGAAGACGAAAAGCGAATGTCCGGCGCTTTAACCGGGTTGGTGGACATGAAGATTTCACCTAGGGGAGTTGGAAAACTCTGATTTCAAACCAATGGTGCACATGGGCTCCAGTATCCTGCGGGAACAAATGGCGTATGAACCAATCGTTGGTCACTGGCTACCATGGGGCTGCATCTCCTCACGACGCTCCATTGCTTTGTGGGTCAGACCTTTAGGTCCAAGGCTCCGGGTGTGGTCCCTTAAGAAAACCACCTGCTCCTGTCTGGGCACGCAAGCTGTATCACAGCCCTCACACTAATCGAGTGATTTATGTGGCGCAAAGCTATTTGGTACCTCCTTGTACCAATGTTTGTGTTTAAATAAATAAATAAAGCTTCAAACTGACTGTGCACTTATCTCTGAGGAATCTAAAAAAATAAACGACTTATGGAGTTAACAAACTAGGGTTGAGGCAGTAACTAACTGATGGAATTAAAAATTCGAAACTTCAGACTCCATCTCAGTAGTATCATCCTGGATTTCTGACCGCAAAGTGTTGACTATGATTATATATGAGCGCCCTTAAGAGGAATACTAAACGAGAACCAAATACTTATTCAGTGTTTTTGAGTTGTCAATACTTATTCAACTGATAAAAATTACCCTTAAATGTTTTTCCACTTTGTTCATTTGATACATTCAGTATACAATCTTAGTTTTAATTACTGAACCTAGTAAACAAATTATTATGGAAATTAACTCAAACATTATGTTCAAGATTAACCCGTATGGAAGTGAAAAATGTGTGGCTTTTGAAGGTATTAAAAGGGTCATTTTATCTGTTTAACTTGAAATATGATTAGTTTATATTTACAAAAAGTGCTGGTTGCTAAAGAATTTACTGTAACACAAAAAAACTGTACTAGAGAAACCATTGTACACGTGTGATTATGCTAAAACTGAATGCAACATCAGTTTAAATCCCACTGTCTAACTTCAGCTTGGACAGACTAGTATCACTACTCTATACCCAAAAATGTCTTGAATCTAAAGAGATTTACCTCAGACTTTTCACCTAATAGATTGCTAACCAACAGTTGGTCTCAACATTTTTGAGGACGAATTAACAAACATGATAAATTCACTTGGTATTGTTTTGCTTGAATCTTCCCATTGAGGTTTAAGACTGCAATTAATCAGCCTGTTATTGGCATATGTGCATACTGTGCGTCTGCCTCGATATTGCCTTATTTCACAAGCTAAGATGGATAGTGGCTAGCAGTCGAATCCAGGACGCGCATTTCGTCCTTTTCGGGACTTATCAGCTGGATATACAAACGATAGTTTATCTAACATATGTAATGTAGGATTTGGAGGAAAGTATAAAGATAAGAGAAAATACCACTTACATTTTATCTGATTGAATTTATTTTGAGTTAATCGGAGTCTATTCTTTTTCTGTCCGTTTTCCATCATAAATCAAACGGTTTGCTTAATGATAAATTGGGCATTGAAGATAAAACTTGTCACTCGGTGGATTAATCTATCTGAATGGAGCTGTACAATGTTTATCACTGAATGTCCCTGTCACAATCTGAACTGGTTCTGATTATTAGAAGCAACATTGTAAGTGTTCGGCGATATTTTATTGAGATTACTCATTAGATCATTTGATGGTATATTTATTCACCTTCAAACCGATTAGCGTTGTGTACACACACATAGGTTACTAATGCTTCCGCTCGAATACGAGCCCAGTAATAGAGTAGAAAACGTGACTTGTGAATTAAGATGGTCATAGGAAAACAGGCCACATTTCCTGAAACTATATATTTATAGCCCAATAACACTGCCTGAATGCGACAAACATCGTTTAGTTAACAATGTATAAAGTACACAAAAAATATACGCTCATTCTACTCACCACTGGTTTTTTAGTTTATTCTTACACTATGATGTTCACACGGCCAATAACTAATACAAAACTGTAAAAAACTCACGTTTACCCTAAAGTTAAATGACTACCTGTATTCAAGTGACCTCCAAACCTACAGACTAAGTATTTGGTGTAAAGTAGTGTGACAAGCTATTCATGGAAATAATAGATCCTCGAAAACCCGATGTAATGACTTAAGTTAAACTACAATACAACTTGCTAACCAGCTACATAAAGAAGTGCTAGTAAACTACCTTGATTTTGAGATTTCGAAAGTAATTTTATGAAAACATCTTGATATATGTGTTATACTGCGTATTCTTCACTATAATCAACACTGTAAATTGGCCACATCAACCGACAATTCTATATTGTACAAATAATATTGGATGGAGCAACTAATAATAATAAGAAACTCGAAGAACATGCTTGAAATCCGTCAGTTTGATCTGTACAACTACATGTGTGAAAGTTCACGGAATGAACCGTCTAATATTGTGAGATTTCAGGAATGAAAGGAAACTAGAACCATAAATCATCATACGAAACAAAACACGAGAGAACGGGTGTACTAAGCCCAAGGAATGACGGATTGGTCGAAATGACCTCAAAGCAAAAAAGTTGACGTGATTAAATATGTTGCCAATTATTAATATCTGTATTCGAACACTGGAATAGTGACACCTTCGAAAGTGACCCAACCTAAACCTAACAACCTGTCATTTAACACTTTGCGTACAAAAAGAGAAAACAAACATAATGCCTGGAATTATGTACTTTATATGAAGTTAGAACCTTACATAACAAACAAAGTATGCTGATCAGTTATCGTATTTATTTTAAGGATAGAAATGTAGTAAACTAAAGAAGTTCAAAAACCTCTTTATGAAAAATATCCGGTATATGGGCACGTGAGCCTCTATGAATATATAAACGCAAGATTTGTTCAAAAATCTTTACAATATGCATATTTATATAACGGGGTACTGCAATTTCACAGATAACCAAAGCTTTGTATAGAACTTTGCAACAGTAAATTAAAACAGAGAATAAGAAGTGATTTGATGACAGATGTTGTTTCATCGAATAAACTAGAAGCAAAAAACTGTATTTAAGGTAAAGAGTGAAAGTCCAGAAATGTGGTTCATTAATATTAATAGTTTTATGGAAATCCAAGGGACTGAAAAATGTTTACAAGCAGAGTAAAGACACTAACAAATACATACAAAGCAAAAAATAAAATCAACACTTTCAGCACTCAAATAATACGAGGCAGATTGTGCTAATGAACTGAGACAGTAGTACTACAACTACTATCATCGATAAGATTAATAAAGAACATTTGCCTAAAATCGGCATTAGGAATACCGGGTTGTTAAAAGCAGATCCAGCTAAAATTCTTCCGGTTCTTCAGCGTCGGGAGCAGTGAAACCATCCTGTTAATAACAAGCACAAAATCTATGAGTAAAAAACGCATTTATTACATTTTTTAAAATTTTTCACTATGCTATACACACATAAATATAGAAACAAAGTTAATATAAGAGTGTCATGTTGACATTTCACACAAAGAGCATACAGTACATCAACCTATAGTTAGTGAAACAATCCATGTCTGGATGGATGGTATACAGTATCCAGATAAAGATAATTAAATCAAACAAATAAATAATTTAGTTGTTACCTGAGCCAAAAATCAGTATATAACGATAACATCGAATTTTTTTTAACTCTCTCGAGCAACGTAATAAGAAAATATCAGAAAATAGAGTGGGATTTATGATATTTCGTGTAGTAACTAAAGCCAATTTTAAGGAAGTAAAACTGGAAAAAAGTGGTCTCTGACATTATAGTTTATTAGATGGAAATATTTATTTAAAATCAAATGACTGGATAATCGACTTACTTCGGTTGCGTAAAGGATTTCAAAGATACTCTTAGTTAAGTCTACTTTTCTATTTTCTTGACAAATTATTTCAATGCTGCGTAGCTTGTTGAAGTAGAAATCCCTTTCACGAAGTAGACCTTCAATAGTAGTCTTGTTTTGTTCAGCCTGTAAAAACAAGAGACGATGAAAGTCTTATTCATTGAAATGTTTGACTGTACGGCAATAGTAATTTTGTGTGCATGATTATTTTCTGCACTTACAAATACCTAGTTCCGCTTATTAACTGAAAACGCCAAAGACGAGCATGTTCATAAATCGTCGATAAAACGTGTAGTGTAATAATTAACAGAAACGAAATAAAACAGAAATTAAAACAATGATAAGATCGCTGTAATAGAGTATAGCTTAGATCTTTAAATTTATGCCCGAATTTCCTCATCTTTTTATAAACTTTTGGTCAGTATGACTAATTACGTTCTAACTAATGTAGTGATTATGAAACAAAGTGATATTTCTATGGGCACGTTGATCTTAAAATTTTTATCAGCCTGAATGTATTAATATACATACTATAAATCACAAAACGCTGAAATAATGTGGAATAAACTGCTTGGTTAGCAAAAGTAATTGGCCACCAAATATTTCCCTATAGTAAATTAAATTATTATTAAAATCAGAATCACTTCCTAATGAAGCTCTTTCTTCGTGTGTTAAGATAGTAGACATAACGTAACGAGCAACAAATTAAAAAAATGTAACAGATTTTCAAGTATTTTGCCCCCGAATGCCCTGGTACGGTCGAATGTGGAGAGTCATCTCTTCCTCTCGAAATGCTCTTACATGATCACGCGTATACAGCCACCGCCAGGGTAGTCCTACTCACTTCTTTCTCGTGACTTGCGTGTTGTTCACAAAATTGAGAGGATGAAAAGCAAATGTCCGGCGCTTCAACCGGGTTGGTGGATAAGGGTTCACAAAAGGGAAATGGAAAACCCTGATTCAAAACGAATGGTGCACATGGGCTCCAGTATCCTGAGGGACGGAATGGCGTATGAACCAATTGTTGATCACCGGCTACCGTGAGACTGCATCTCCTAACGTTGCTCCACTGCCTTGTGGATTAGACCCTTAGGTCAAAGGCTCAGGGAGTGTTCCTATAAGAAAACCACCTGCTTCGGTTTGGGCGTCCGGGAAGTATTCCGGCCCCCGCACAAGTAGAACGATGAAATGTGGAGCATATATATTTGGTGCCTCCTTGTGCCAACGTTTATACGTTTAAATAAATAAACAGCAAGTGTCTTAGTGCATATTACTCATTTGAAAGTATTGTCTAGAAAAATTTGATCCGAACCTTAAGTATTTAATTATTGTCATTTATTTTCCGATTATATTTAATATCCTAAACGGGGTGTTAATCTTCATAACTGATTGACGAAAAGAGTACGAAAGATATAATTTTCGTATTTTACTGACAACTGCGAGGTTATGGTAACGAAAAGGTTGATAGTGAATTCGGAAGAAACTACATTGCCCTTCTGAAAACCGATCCTAAAACCGTGCCCTGCTGAACAGTATTCAAATGAAAGTTTCGCAATAATCAACTCTAAATCATGACAATATCGTAGACTACCACTAGTGAGAAAAATATAGAAATGAAAATCATGTCATGAATGTTCTTACCGAACCTGATCAACTTAATGTATATGACAGTGGATGGATATCGTAATCTAAAAAATTTAATAATTCAATAAGTGTACATCACAAACCACGGTTGTGTGTATAAATGATTGACAAAACGTTACCAAACAACCTAACATAGGTAACGGTTAATATAACACTGAACCACTTTGTAATTCAAGAAAAGAAGTTTTTAATTTATTTGGTCGTCGTAAATCAATGTTTTTGATGGTGAGAATACAGTTGTTTGGTCTAAGTAACCGAAGCTAAATCACGGGGTTATTTGATCCCATTAAAACTAAGTATATAAGCCCGAGTCGAGACCACAACCTATGAATTACGATTATGAGTAAAATATAAAGGCACGGTTTATGCTTATACTATATTGAGATTTATTGAACATCTTAAGACATATATATTAGTAAAATCTCAGCGAATGAATTTTAAGTAAATCCAACGTTTCGCCTGGTAATCTGGTCCAAGCTTTTTCAAGGAAAATATAATCAAACAACAAAATTATCGAATATAAATAGGTACAAGGTTCTTCGGTTTACTGTATACTGTATACTGTATACAGTAAACCGAAGAACCTTGTACCTATTTATATTCGATAATTTTGTTGTTTGATTATATTTTCCTTGAAAAAGCTTGGACCAGATTACCAGGCGAAACGTTGGATTTACTTAAAATTCATTCGCTAAGATTTTACAAATATATTCTTTTTAATGTCTCAAATGAACCCGGCGCCCAAATATTGTGAAACTATTCGTTTAAATTTAGACGAAAGTTCTTATTTATCTTAAGACATATGTCTGCTTTAAACTAAAATCTCAACAAAATTTCCACACGCTTAAGAGTAATGTACGAAATCCAAGTACAATCACCAGTCTAAGAAACACCAATGACACAAAACAGAAAAGGGATTGATGGAAAATGAGCAACCCGAAAATGTGCTACGCTACATAACAGTATATAAAAGTAAAATTAACAAGAAACAAAATAAGCGATCATACACATTCAGACGCTCCACAATCGTAGTATTTCTCGACATTAAGGCGGCATTTGACTATGTTGATCGTGAGGTTCAATGGCAGCATTTGTCAGTGAAAGGAGTACCAAAGAAATACATTATCTTGTAAAGCTCTTTACTCAAACACAGCTGGTCGAATGAGAGCTCGTGGCAAACTGTCATCAGAATTGATTATCTCAAGTGGTGTTCGTCGATGCTGTCCACTCTATCCATTGTCGTTTAACTTTGTCATTGACGAGCTTTTAGAGATGACACTTTCCTCATCTAGAATTGAACTTCTACCGGGAGATTCACTTGTTGACTTAGAATATGCCAATGATATAGTTCTATATGGTGAAGACGCTGACATAATGCAGTCTTCTGACCACTCTAAAAAACAATGCTAGTATGTTCGCATGCTATTCTCCTCCTCGAAATGCAAAATATTGCTTCAGGATTGGGTTGCATCGACACCCGAACTAATGATAGGGAGTGAAGTAGTTGAGCGTGTCGACCGCTTCACTTATCTTGGAAGTCTCATCAGCCTTTGTGGTCTGGGGTGTGACGAAGTCTCAGCACTGATACAGAAGGCTCGACTAGCTTTTGCCAACTTGAGTCATTTATGGAGTAGGCGAGATATCCGTCTATCAACTAGAGGACGAGTTTACTGTGCAGCAGTCCGTTCTGTCCTACTTTATGGCAGTGAAAAATGGCCGGTAAGAGTAGAGGATATTCGCAGGTTACTAGTATTTGATCATAGGTGTCTTTGAAACATTGCTCGCATATCCTGGGACCATCGAGTACGTAACGCAGTTGTTAGGAAACGGGTACTAGGTAAGGATGGCAAACCAATCAATGAAGTAGTGAAACTTCATCAGTTGAGATGGGTGGGACACGTGTTACGGATGGGCAACCACCGACTGCCCCAAAGTGCGATGTTTTATGGTGCAGGAGTAGGTTGGAAGAAAGCTAGGGGTGGCCAGACCACAACATGGCACAAATCCATGAAGTTACTGACAACTGGACTGAGCCATGTTGGTAGGTGTAGACTACCTGGTTGGGAATCGTGAGACGATAGCAACCGATGGTTAGAGACCTTGGATGACATGGCTCAAATTCGTTTGCAATGGCGCAGGTGCATCCATTCTTTGTGTTCTCTCAGATTTTAATCATCTAAATTCTCCATGTCCTTTTTTATCTTTCCAAATTTATTTCACTGTATTATACGCTTGAATAACATCTTCAAACCCTAATGTTTCCGACAACTGCTGATACTCTTACCGCCTCTACCGCTACGGGATTTTAATGGACAACTGCATCTCTGTGCTAATGTGGTATGGCAACTCGAACTGATGTACGTACGTACGAAATTCTCAGTCAGTCAGTAACAACGTAGAACTTCGTTCGTACGTACGTACATCAGTTCGAGTACAAAATTCTACGTTGTTACTGACTGACTGACAACTTCAAAACAATTTATACGAGCGAATAGTAATTGTTTCATAGCTTCATTTAACTACCTTAAAGCTTTTCCAAAACTACTATTACCCCAGGTAATACTATGAATAAAGATCACTGTTGAGAATTTAGTGTATGTAGGCTATTATTATTTAAACATAAATATCAATGCAAAGGGGATGTAGGTTAACAACTTGATCAAATGATTCATACCTATAATTTAAATTTTAGTGCCTGACAAGAACATTTCACATTAGTGGTTCCGAAAAATCCAATGCTACAGAAGTGATCAACAATCGAATATCTTGTTTTTCCACATTGTCTTATATCCCGATGTCGGTAAACGTTTGTGTAGTATCGTCTACACACTTCCTTGACGTCATGCTACTAGTGACGTAGGCAAGATATCTATCTGCCGATCACTACTCTAACTATATAACTGTAGGAAATGCTCTTTGAAGCTATAGAACAAATGTAATCCTGTAGTATTTGATCATAAATCCTTTTGAAACATTGTTAGTGCATGATGGAAAAACAGAATGAGTAACGCATATGTGAATCATAGAGTACCAGGTATAGATGGCTGATGAGAAACAATGCATATTTGCGTCAGGTCTTATTTTGATTATGATTGAATGGTTAGTACAGAAAATAATTCCCACCTGTCACTTATATCTACACAAGGAATAAGCCTGTCGCCAGGTTATTCACTGATACGACTTAAGTAAGGAGTCTATTAGCTTAATTCTTGCGGCTTTTATTACTAAACCAGGTGTGATTACAGACAAGTTCTAGACTATGCATAAATATTTGAATTGTAAAATTATTCATGATAAAGTCATGTTATGATAAGATCACACCAATAGACCCAGAGAATACAACGTTATCAAAATCCTCTTTTTGGAATGCAAATTTTAACCACCATCTCGAAAGTTATGAGCCCGACTGCACTCCTTCGGAAATGAGTTTTCCAAAGTACACCACGTTCCAGAAAACGTATATTTAACAAAAGTTTCGGATAAAAATAAAACAATGAAAAATATTTTTCAAACGACTGTTTCATTAGATGCATTAACATTTTTAAAAATGTTACATTGGGAAAAGTACGTTCGTGTTTGATATATGGGTAAAACGTTATCGTTATGATGATAAGTTCAGCGAATTACATAATTCAAACAAAAATACAAAAACTGACCTCTAATGTAAGCTGATCGAATTGCTGTTTCAAAATGGCCACTTCTGCATTATCGCCAGCGGAATAATGATTATTATTAGTAGGAGTTCCTGAAACGCCGGACTGACTGGTGCGCAAAGTTGTAACTACTGGATGTTTCAAAAGGAAAACATGTAAGAAAATCGACATATATTTGTTTAAAAGGTTATTAAAGATTATATATTAGAATTACTCAAAATACAACAAACAGTGAGTGCTTTTCATGGTGCAGTTTAAAGACTTAATTCATAGAAAGTGATACGAATACAAATGAAGATCTGAGACATTTACAGTGTGGAACTAAGTAGACGGTGTCCAAAATTACAGATGAATAAGTGTTCAACTTTGCTCAAATATACATGTATCTAAGTTGCTACACCTCGCAACAACAAGAGAAGATTACATCAATTAGAATGGAGATACATCAGGAAAGGCAAAATCAGCCGGTCATACTCAACGTAGACAAATATAGAAGTGGAGAAACACAAAAGTTGTATTACAATTGGGGGAAAATAAACAGCGAACAAACTTGGAATAGTATTCTATTTGAACCATGTTATTTCAGGATCTGCAAACATGAGAATTGGATTTCTATCATGCTTAACATATCACACAATGATTCCAAATAATTGTGAAAACTAAGGGGAGGTCGGATAAAATAGTACCAATGAGTAGAAAACTGGAAGAACGAATAAAATTGGGGAATGGAAAATATGGAGCAACACTAAACCTATGGTTTCGAAAAAAGATGAAGAATGTGTCTGGATTATTGTGATTGGCTTTCAGCCATATCAGCCAAGTTGTCACTTATGGACTGGCTATCTCAAAGATTTGAATCATGAAGCTTGTAGCTCCGAACACGGATCAGACCAATAAACAATAATTTCATGGATTGATACTTAATTTTTTCCAACATTCTTGAGAAAAAAGGCAAATTGTTTGATGGTGTTTTAAATCCTCAACGAGTGGAGAAGCTGGAACACCCATCATGTATCCCCGACCGCCACCTACGTCGACACGTAATGTTAGCTAGCATAGGAGTAGGTTGGGAAAAAGCAAGAAACGACTGCGCCATAACGTGGCGTCAACCTATGAAGTAATTGACTGTTGGATTGATGTATATTGGAAAGTGCAAATTACTCCGTTAGTGTACCCGCGATTGTCATAACCAATGGTTGGCGATGTTGGATGGGATAGCCCAAAGCCTGTTACAAAAACGCAAATGCATTCACTCTTTGTATACTCATAGATCGTAAGTCTCGAAATTATTTCCACAAATTCATTTACGCTCTTAGAATCATAGTTTTTCTCGAATGATTTTTAATGTCTGCTATAACATGCGAAAACTGATACCGGGCACTGGGAACAGTGAGTCGCAAGATGCAAAGCAAGTAAACGAATGAATTAAGGTTTATTATACAAGAAAAAATAAACCGCGATGATACCAGATTACGCAAATTGCTATGATTTATTTACACTGACCAATAGTCAGGTTTTTATAGATTAAACTGAGTAGTCCTAGAGACACTAATCAACAATTCTATGAAAACATTTATGTCATAAGATTAAACGTCTATAATCAATAGATAGAACTAATTTACTGAGTTATATAATTACGGTCAAAATGTGACATGCCATAGACAATAAAATATGAGTTTTGTAGGTCGTACTCAATCCAAATCCTCAGTCATTACATTACTATCACTAATACTATTACTTCTACTACCTTGGTTTTCATCTTGCTTTGCTAACAGTGTGGTAACTTGGGTCAATGCACACTTGTGTCAGGTTCTATGTTACTAATGATTGACTGAGCCTACGTTTATAATAACCACTATTGCACGTCGGTGAATAAATACGCGTAACAAAAATTCCTAGCACCTCAACCAACGAAACATGTTCGTATTTCACACCTTATTTAGTGGCTTTAGCAATCACTCTACAAATATTTTTCCAGGTCTAAACATTTATCATTTTGAGTTGGGTAACTAAGTACTTACTTACTTACTTACGCCTGTTACTCCCAATGGAGCATAGGCCGCTGACCAGCATTCTCCAACCCACTCTGTCCTGGGCCTTCTTTTCTAGTTCCATCCAATTCTTGTTCATTTTTCTCATGTCTATCTCCAGTTCTCGGCGTAATGTGTTCTTTGGTCTTCCTCTTTTCCGTTGACCTTCAGGATTCCATGTGAGGGCTTGTCTTGTGACGCAGTTCGGTGCTTTCCTCAATGTGTGTCCTATCCACTTCCAGCGCTTCTTCCTGATTTCTTCCTCCACTGGGATCTGGTTTGTTCTCTCCCACAGTACGTTGTTGCTAATAGTGTCCGGCCAATGGATCTGAAGTATTTTGCGTAGACAACTGTTAATAAACACCTGTATTTTCTGGATGATGGCTTTTGTAGTTCTCCAGGTTTCTGCCCCATACAGTAGAACTGTCTTGACATTTGTATTGAAAATCCTGACCTTGGTGTTGGTTGACAGTTGCTTTGAGCTCCAGATGTTCTTCAGTTGTAAATATGCTGCTCTTGCTTTGCCGATCCGCGCCTTCACATCTGCATCAGATCCACCCTGTTCATCAATGATGCTGCCCAAATATGTAAAGGTTTTTACATCTTCCAAATCTTCTCTGTCAATTGTGATTGGATTGGTGCATGCTGTGTTGTATCGGAGAATCCTGCTTTTCCCTTTGTGTATGTTGAGACCTATTGCTGCTGAGGCTGCTGCCACGCTGTTTGTCTTCTCCTGCATCTGTTGTTGCGTGTGGGATAGAAGGGCCAGATCGTCTGCGAAGTCTAGATCATCCAACTGCATCTTAGATGTCCATTGTATCCCGCGCTTTCCTTCAGACGTTGACGTCTTCATGATCCAGTCGATCACCAGGAGAAAGAGAAACGGTGAGAGTAAGCAACCTTGCCTAACACAGGTCTTCACTTCGAACGACTTTGTCAACTGTCCTCCATGCACAATTTTGCAGTGTAATCCATCATATGAACTCTGTATGATATTGACTATCTTCTGAGGCACGCCGTAGTGTCGAAGAAGTTTCCATAGTGTTGTTCTGTCCACGCTGTCAAATGCCTTTTCGTAGTCAATGAAGTTGATGTAGAGTGATGAATTCCATTCAATTGATTGTTCCACAATGATCCGTAGAGTTGCGATTTGGTCTGTACACGATCTATCCTTACGGAATCCTGCCTGTTGACCTCGAAGTTGGGCGTCTACGCAGTCCTTCATTCTGTTTAACAATACCCTGTTGAAGACTTTTCCCGGTATTGAGAGAAGAGTGATGCCCCTGTAGTTATCACACTTGCTGAGATCGCCTTTCTTCGGTATTTTGATCAGAAGTCCTTCTTTCCAGTCTGTTGGTACTTGTTCCTCATCCCAAATCTTATTGAAGAGAATGTGGAGTATCCTTGCAGTTGCCGCTACGTCTGCTTTTAGTGCCTCTGCCGGGATGTTGTCCGGTCCTGCTGCTTTGCCACTCTTGATTTGCCTGATGGCCATGCTGATTTCTTCAATTGTTGGTGAGCCAACATTGATTGGGAGGTCCGTGGGTGCTGCTTCGATGTTGGGTGGGTTCAGTGGCGCTGGTCGATTCAAGAGTTCTTTGAAGTGTTCTATCCACCTGTTTTGTTGCTCTTCAATGTGGGTGATTACCTTGCCTTCCTTGCTTTTCACTGGTCGTTCTGGTTTGCGGCGATTTCCAGAGAGCTTCTTTGTCGTGTCATACAATTGTCTCATGTTTCCTTCTCTTGAAGCCTTTTCCGCCGTCGTTGCTAAATCTTCCACATATTTACGTTTGTCGGTTCTGATGCTCCTTTTCACTTGTTTGTTTATTTCTGTGTATTCAGCTTGTGCCTTAGCTTTTTCTGCTCTTGTTCGGCTGGTATTGATCGCTGCCTTCTTGTTTCTTCTTTCTTGAATCTTATCCAGTGTATCAACAGTGATCCATTCCTTGTGGTGGTGCTTCTTGTGACCCAGGACCTCATGACATGTTGAAGTGATTGCCTCTTTGATCCCCTTCTAGTTGCTCTCCACAGTAGTTCCTTCTCCATTGAGTAGATCATGAAAGGCCTGGAACTTGTTGCTGAGGACTATCTTGAATTTGTTGAGTTTGTTAGTATCCTGAAGAAAGGCCGTATTGAACTTTAGTGATACTGTCTGCCCCGTTGTCCAGTGCTTCTTGAGTTTCAATTTCATCTTGGCGACCAGTAAGTGATGATCTGATGCTATATCAGCTCCTCTCTTGGTTCTCACGTCCTCTATAGTCCTCCTGAACGTTTTGTTGATGCAAATATGGTCGATTTGGTTTTGTGTAGAGTGATCCGGTGAAGTCCATGTGGTTTTGTGTATGCGTTTATGTGGGAATACGGTGCCGCCTATGACCAGCTTATTGAAGGCACATAGGTTTGCAAATCTCTCACCATTTTCGTTTCTTTCTCCCAGTCCGTGTCGTCCCATGATGTCTTCATATCCAGTGTTGTCCGTTCCAACCTTGGCGTTGAAATCTCCCATCAGAATGGTCAGGTCCTTTGTTGGGCACTTCTCGACGATTGACTGCAGCCTATTGTAGAATTGATCTTTAGCGTCTTCATTGTAGTCGTTGGTAGGCGCATAGCATTGGATGATGTTCATTGAAATGCCCTCTTTCTTTGTTTTGAAGGAGGCTTTGATGATCCTTGGTCCATGAGATTCCCATCCTATAAGTGCATTTTGCGCTTGTTTGGACAGCATCAATGCAACTCCTTGTGTATGTGGTGCATTTTCTTCTTCATGGCCGGAGTATAACAGGAGCTCTCCTGTAGTTAGTCGTTGTTGTCCAACTTGTGTCCAATGTGTTTCACTGATCCCAAGTACCTCTAGGTTGTATCTTCTCATTTCTGCAGCAATTTGGAAGGCTCTTCCGGTGTCCCACATTGTACGAACATTCCATGTACCTAAACAAATGGTTGCTCTGGTTGTCAGAAGGGGCATCGGCCTCGTAACTTCCGAAGGAATTCGGCTTTCATCATGAGGCGTCATAATTCTTCTAAATGAAGACCTTCTGACTCCCAGGGCAGAGTTTAAAAGGTTTGAATAATTTTTTCTGGTTAGCGTTTTTTTAGCGAGTTAGTTTTCTACGGGATGGGGACGCTAACCCCATGCCCAACCCTCCTCCTTTATCCGGGCTTGGGACCGGCAGTAGCCCCCGGAGGGACTCCAGGCGGAGTTGGGTAACTAAGTAGGATCCAAAAATTATAAGTATACTAAACACGACCTTTTTTATTTATTTATTTAAACGCATAAACATTGGTACAAGGAGGCACCAAATAGATATGCGCCACATAAGTCATTCGATTTGTGTGAGGGCTGTGATACTGTCCGGGTGCCCAGACCGAAGCAGGACACGATCTTTTACAGTTACTGGAACATCGTAACGGTGCTAAGAATTGATCAAAACAATTTATTTTACCTTTACTTATGTTACAAAACCGCTTATCTCAACTAGTATTCACATTCGGAAAGTTACACAATTGATTATATACAGAGTTTTTGATTGTTTACAGTAGGTGGTTTACATCTAAGAATGAATGTATATTCAAATTCACACAAATGTATTTTGAACTGTGAAGTGTAAGTATTATACATTTCGAAAACCAACTAGGTAGAATTTATCTAGGTTTTGAGGTATGGTATAGCAAAACAATTCTTACTTAATTAGCTATAAAGTATTTTTTTCAGATAACAATACACCTCTGACACACTACTGTTTTCCTATACTAGTTTTTTTCTACTACTGCTGATGCTCGCCTTGATGTGTTGTGGTAACTTGAACCAAATTACATGTAATGAGCATGATGATAATAATGACACTTTACCCGGATCCATTACTAAAATCGAATCGACAAGTGTTAAGGAAGAATAGTAAAAACTGAAAACCCTAACCAATCCCACTAATTTTAAATGAATACGATGTGACTACAATTCACGTAAGGTGTTCTGATAAAGTAGTCGAAGTTATTAGGATTTTGGAACCGCTTTTGTCCACATAACTTTGCAGTAGCTTGGACTGTTGTAGTGTTAATAACGTTAAAAGCTGCTATGTTGCAAAACGTATGATGTTCGAGTATCTCGACAGACGACATATGACCGATCTGAAAATGGTCTGAATGAAATCTGATCTGTTTCTAAATATCTCTGTATCCTTCCTGATCTGCGCTAGGACTAGTATAACTATTACTTCTGTATACATTAGTAAGGACATAGCCGGAAATCAGTTATGAATAACTTTGTTTCAGAGTGACAGAAAATCCCATTTGTGCCATACATAGAAAACTCAGTTGATTTTCTGGCTCGTCACCCGTTTCTGTTAAGTAAATCGAGACGATTTTAATAAAGACAATTTCAGGGTTGCTAAGATACCAAACATACTAATGGCTAGATCAGTGATTGATACAAGTGGGATAAATAAGACATGGGGAAAATACGCAACAAAATAAGATGTCGGACGTCAGCGATGAAGAAATCAGCAGGAGACAGAGGGAAGAATGGTTTAAATAGTGAAGATGAAGTGATGAGAGTGAAAAACTAAAAGTAAAGAATAGAATATTTAGGGTTCGAGAAAAATGACAAAGTTTATGTACATCTGCTGTTCAGACATTTTGGGTCTTCCACTCCATACAGTATATACACTCGGTCGGTCAGTAACAACGTAGAATTTCGTACGTACGTACGCAGAGGCGGTAAGAGTATCAGCAGTTGTCGGAAACATTAGGGTTTGAAGATGTTATTCAAACGTATAATACAGTGAAATAAATTTGGAAAGATAAAAAAGGACATGGAGAATTTAGATGATTAAAATCTGAGAGAACACAAAGAATGGATGCACCTGCGCCATTGCAAACGAATTTGAGCCATGTCATCCAAGGTCTCTAACCATCGGTTGCTATCGTCTCACGATTCCCAACCAGGTAGTCTACACCTACCAACATGGCTCAGTCCAGTTGTCAGTAACTTCATGGATTTGTGCCATGTTGTGGTCTGGCCACCCCTAGCTTTCTTCCAACCTACTCCTGCACCATAAAACATCGCACTTTGGGGCAGTCGGTGGTTGCCCATCCGTAACACGTGTCCCACCCATCTCAACTGATGAAGTTTCACTACTTCATTGATTGGTTTGCCATCCTTACCTAGTACCCGTTCCCTAACAACTGCGTTACGTACTCGATGGTCCCAGGATATGCGAGCAATGTTTCAAAGACACCTATGATCAAATACTAGTAACCTGCGAATATCCTCTACTCTTACCGGCCATTTTTCACTGCCATAAAGTAGGACAGAACGGACTGCTGCACAGTAAACTCGTCCTCTAGTTTATAGAACAGTATATACACTAAGAACATGTTATGGTTTCATATGACCGTGTCTAACTTTTGTCGAACCTGATTTTATGGACACAAGGACGAAATTTAGCGACTATTGGCCGAGTATACGTAAGGAATTGAGGAAAGGTCATCAACCACATTAACTGCTCCACCATTACTACATATCGCTTTACGGTTAACTAATCTTTATTCGACCATGACTGAGCAATATTTTGGGAACACAAGTGATAAAACACCTAAAACTAACACACATTAACTTTTGTTTGCAAACTAATTAGTTGTTTAACAACTGTAATTAGTCTACATTTCAGGTGCCATTAGAAAGGGAAACTTAAACAGGAGTTTCGTATCCTGGTCAGAAATCTTAGTCTTTCGTGATACGATTTTAAAATAACCTTTTGAGATCCAGTAAAATGTGACCAACAAAAAAAAGCTTTCCAACGCAAGCAAAACTAAGTTACGGTAGAGCGAGACAACTGATATAACACATTCAACTACATTCCCAAACCAGGTGGGTCACATGACCTAATCAAGGATATATACCTGGGTGTTTTCGAAAAGCATATTTTCTGTTCGATTTTCATAGATCCAAAATCTAACGTTATGCGACTTATAAATAATATATTTCAAATGTATAACGACTTAAATCCACTGTATTTTTCCAAACCCTGTCGTGTTTTTTATCAAGATCACTCACATGACATACAAGTGTTGAGATATTCGGAAATCTAGGCGTCTGTGGAAAGCAATATTATTTACTCGCTTGGTTGGATCGTGGAAAATTACGTGTTAATATGGACTCAGACATCAACACGCGTGACAAAAGTGATACAGATTAACAACTTACCCTGCTTCTGACCTACAGGTTTAGCATTTGATGAGATGCTATTGCGCGGCTGATCGAGTTGGGACTTGTTTGGAGTTTTCCCGCTGCCGATAATTTTCTCACCTCCCCTAGCTGTTAAAGCATCATAAAGATGACCATCATAGTTTACGTCGAAAAACCGTTTAAACCATTGGAGAAACTCAAAATTATCTTGGAACTTTCCTTTTACTAACTTTTCGATTGGGACTTCCTAAGACAAAATAATTAGAAGGGTTATACTCTACTTTGTCTACGCCATGTTTCTTAAAAAGAGCTTGCAATACTTTGAAGTTATTAATGTACTCGTGCTCCAGCTTTGTGTTAAATTTGACTTTCTTAAACAATAATGTTCCTGTAGAGGTAGTTTACATTTCTGTAGTAAATACCTGGAAAGAGCATATCCACCAGTTGACAATAAGCTGCTCCACTACACAACTCCTCCACTTTACCGTAACTGCTGTTCAGACAGTGATTAACCCATTGGATTATTTCATTTCTGCTTAAATTGTCAGTCATTTGACTGGTGCTGTGAACATTGACTGCTTGCGGGATGCCCGCCATGACCTGCGGAAATCTTACGACCTCAAGAATCCGATTTAGAAAGACCGCTTGGATTACCCAGTAGTACCCTAAATGGTAACACAAACAAGAGTAGACTAGTAATCGAAGTGCTCACCATAATAACTTTCAAATAAAGATTGTAAGCAAAAGACTAGATTTAAGCTGTGCAGGCTGAAAATTTGAGCATTACTCCACAAACAACCGTTCGACAGGACTAAGTTTGAATTTTCTAAGGTTAGTAATATGTCCATGCATCCTGGTCAAAGCATACATTAAACTGAACCATTTCTTCGCTCAGCGATTAATTACTGGATGCTGAATGATTTTCTGAATACCTCCATTGTCAGGAATGATAAACACAGATTGATTAATTTCACTCCGTGAATCGGCACATAAGTTAGCGTGACCATACTCTATACTGTCCTAATCTGTTCTTATTAATCAAACCACTTTGGTAAGATTCTATTCACTAAAGAAGCCGCATTACCTGGTTATCATGATGAGGTATGTTGGGTCACATCGCCCATGTCCAACCTCAGTAGTTTCACAATCCACACTGATGACCCAAAGGTGTCATATCAGTCTTCAGAAGTAAGGATCAGAAGTCGAGTGACCTTTCCGATTCTCACAGATTTACCATCAGAAGGTACTGAAACTCCGTTTTATGTAATGGTTCCCAGCGGTTTAATACTCCACGACAGAATAGAAACTCTTATTGTGAATGATTTGGCTTCGGTTATCAAAATTTTTAAGTGTCCTTTTATATTATCAGTCCTTGGTTAAAGAAAAGACATGCAGCGGTAAATAAATCCCAAAAACCGTCAGTTCTTCGAAATTCGATGCTCATCGCATTAGTCTTAATCAACACATCTAGCTGAAGGCTCTCGGTCATCCATCCGCATCAGATCACGAGTGGATATGACGTGCTACGCACTCCTTGCAACTGCTAACCAACTTAGATTAAATGCTCACCGATATATCGGTAACCTTTCAAATATATCTTCTAACTTCTTCATTTCTGACCTCTAATTTGACTGGATTGGCACACTCCGGTCATAAAGGTGTTACGCGTAAATGTGTTGTCAAACGCCGAACATCGTGGCATCATTGGACACATTAATGAAAAATCAGTACTTGACAGGGGAGCATACAGTCATCTTGTGATGTAAAGTAGCTGCAGTATGTCGATGTGCCTTGATCTTTGCTAATAATATGAGTTGTGGAAGTCTTTTATCACCATAGTCCCTCCCCGCATAATTCTTTTATTCGAATCCACCTCGTATTCTAAATAAGGCCTTGGATACGTTGTGCAGAATATTCTGAAAATTCATTTATCTAGACTATCAAACGATCTATGAATACCCTATGAGGCCCAGAAGCCTTTGAAAATGGCTTCCCTATTGTTAAATCTTATTTTAAAGCCACTATAAACTATGAATCTTAAATCCACTTAATCCTAACATCTCATATGCAAGTGTTGGAAAATCTTCCATGTATGCATTCTGTGTGATAACAATACTTTGTTACACCCCACGTGTATCGTTGTTCGCCTCAAACTTTCTGGTCATGTGTATTATGTCAATATTTTGTTCACAATAAGCTATGATTACTCTTTTTCATTATCAGATTTCGTTTTCACTATCTGTTCAACTATTTTTACTAAACCGACTGTCTTTGTTTTCGTTGGCTCGGTCGCTTATCTTGGCGATTCTTGCGATGATTTTCCTTTCTTAGGCTAACTATATTTAATAGTGCCAGATCATTACCCAAACATCATGTTTCTATAGATAGACCGACCCGAAATGGCCAGTATATTAATTTTCATTACTGGTTCCCACTGAGTAAAAAGCGGAGTTGAATCTTCTCATTATTATTGGAGACTAGGCGAATATGTCCTCAAGATACTCAATAGGATTGAACATCCACGTATCTAGTCAATCGAAACTTAACACTAAGACGTCATGGAAAAACACATACAATACAACAGAAAACTCGCATTATGGATATCGCATTTACAGAATACAGCCGTCAAAATCTTAGATAAACTGACTTTCCAATCCCTGAACATAACTTATAAAATTAGGTTGTTCATTACGTGATAACCGTCACTAGATAACGCCACAACGGTATATTGATCAGAAGGCGAATACGAAGTGTTGATTACGTTTATTATGGGACCACACACAGATATCCAAAATTACAGGCGCGTTGAACAAGCATGAAAGAGTTGTGCCGAGAGGCAAGCAGGCAAGCGAGCGAGCGAGTGAGTCAGCGAATGTGAGTACGAGTACAATTAAGCGAGAGAGAGAGCAGCGAACATGAATACAATGGACATATATATACATAGTGAAGTGAATGAATGAATCATCGAATCAATTTAGCGGTTAGTAGTAAGGCTAGCAGTGTGAATAAATGCGTAGGCAGTAAGCAATGCTCAAGCATACATTCGCAGCAATAATAAAGATACAATGATATAGATAAGTGTTGTTGTACGGATGATTCAGTTCGTTAATAAATTAACAAAATGACTTAATCGAACTAAATGTGAACAAACTCAATTGCACTTGACTTGCTTTAATGGATGACCCATATGTCTGAAAATTTTTCTAGGACCCATTGACATTTCACTGGCACTGCAACCACTTCAATATAGCAGCACCTAATCGACTTTGAACGTGTTGCTAAAAAAGTCTTTCTTCAAAATAATTTGCGCAATCAAATGGGCTGAATTGAAATGGGGTGGAAACAAAAACGTATGTAGAGCTGAGGCTTCGGCTATCGACCAATTCAACCCTGAAATCTGGGTTAAGAACGGTATGTGAAACCTCTCATTATTTTTAGTTGCTTACTTACGCCCGTTATCCTGTAGAAACTTCGTCTATTTCGTCTTCAATACCGCTCTAATAATACACCTAATCCTAAGATTGTATATCTGGCATTAAGTAACTAATCAATAATATCGTGTATGGAAGTCATGTCATTGTTTACACTTACTCATCGTATCGTAACCATCATCAATACACGGTGAAGAACACATTTAGGCTGGAGATTCAACAATATATTTAATATGGATAAAAGTTACGCAAAAGTGACCACGCCCGCAAGGCTGAGCCATGCCATCCAATTAATTCAAATCAATTGAATTCATTCTTCCCGCTGAATCTTTTGGCCGGTTCAGCAACACTGTCGAAAACTTTTCCTGGTACTGACAGTAGTGTGATCCCTCCTTAGTTATCACAGATGCTCAGATCTCCTTTGATTGATATCTTGATGATATATCCTTCTTTCCAGTCTGTCGGCACTTGTCCTTCCTCACAACCTTCCTGTATTGAACGTGTAGCATTATTGTATTCGCTTCTATGTCTGACTTCAGTGCTACAGGTGGTATCTTGTCAGGTCCTGTTGAATTCCCACTCTTGATTTTTCTGATGGCCATGATTTCTTCGATCTTAGGTGGGGTAACATCTGTAGGAAAGTCTGTAGGTGCTGCTTTTATTTACGGTTGGTTCAGTGAGGCTGGTATATTCGCGAGTTCCTCGAAGAATTCTACTCATATACTCCGCCGTTCTTGGATTTCAGTGATTGGCTTGCCTTCCTTGTCTTTGACCGATCCCTCTGATTTGCTACATTTTCCTGCCAGTCTCTTAGTTGTGTCATTTAGTTGTTTGATATTTCCTTACGTTGCATCTGTTTCCGCTGTGATTGTTAGGTCTTCCACATACTTCTGATTGTAGGCTCTAATGTTCCTTTTTACTTGCTTGTTTGCATCAGTGTATTCAGCTTGTGCCTTGACTTTCTCTGGCCTTGTTCGGCTGTTGTTAATTCCCATCTTCTTGTTCTTCCTATTTTGAGTTCTGTCCAGGTTTTCAATAGAGATCCATTCCTTATGATAATGATGATTGTTGTAGCCTAGAACCTCCTGACATGTTGATAATAATGCTTCTGTGATCCCTTTCCAATTGTCCTTCAAAATTATTTCTTCTTTAAGTAGATCTTGTAAGGCTTGGAACCTATTGTTGTGAGTTATCTTGAATTTGTTGAGTTTGTCAGAATATCAAAGGAATTTCGTATTGGACCTTTGTGATACTGTTTCCCCAGTTGCTCAGTACTTCATTAGCTTCAGTTTCATCTGGACAATCACCGGTTGGTGGTGCTCTGAAACTATGTCAGATCCTCACCTAGATCTTATGTCTTTTATTAACTTTCTGGATTTTTTGATGATGCAAATATGATCGATTTCATACTCTGTAGTATGATCCGGTGCAACACATTTAACTTTGTTTATGTGGTTGTGTGGAAATATTGTGGCACCTATAAATACCCCTGCAGCTACTTCAGGATTACTGCCGTTCGCAAGTCCGGGTTAAAGAGGAGGGTTGTGCATGGGGCCAGCGAAGAAAACCCTTTCTTAGCCATGATTCCCTCATGCAGTTTGTCTTGGTCTCGTTCTGATTTTTATCATTATTTTGCAATCTTAAGGCGCATTAAGTTATTATTATCGTCTAACAATATTTTATTGTCGTTGCTTAATTGTTACCATGACTGATTATTATGCAATCCCTTATTTGTGAAATCCCAAATCACTTTATGATGCAGTCTTTTACATCATTCTATAGTCTTCATTTATAAAACAACCACCAGTACGAATGTGCAGCTAAATCAGATGGTTTCATCGAAGGAATTTTTACTAAATACTCTTTATTTTTATCTAACAATAATTAGGATCCACTTATCCAAGCTACAGATAAGTAAACTATTATTGTTTCACACATATATTGTTCTCCAGGGCACAACATGGTTTTCGGAAAGGCCTATCTTGCTTGACAAATCTTCTCATTGCACGAGAAGAGTGGGCTGCGGCAAAGGATCGGAATGCTTGTGTGGATGTAATTTTCATAGATCTAAGTAAAGCCTTTGATAAGGTTTCACACTCTGGTCTTAAATTCAAACTGAAACGTTTTGGAATCCATAACACAGTCGTCGATTGGATAAGTAACTTTCTCCATGACAGGAGACAAAGGGTAAGGGTTAATGGGGCTCTCTCCTCGTGGGTACCTGTAAAAAGTGGGGTTCCCCAAGGCACAATCCTAGGTCCTCTTCTCTTTTTACTTTATGTAAATGAATTGCCAACTGTAGCAAAATCATCCGTTCTACTCTTCGCTGATGACATAAAGATTTGGAGACCCATACATAGTATGTCGGATAGAATAGTATTACAGGACGATCTTAGCTCATTGGTGGCATGGTTAGACAGGTGGTCACTAGAAGTAAATCCTAA